CCTCAGGGCCAGGCCCCTCGCGCTCCGGGCGCCCCTCTCTGGACCTTCTGGGGGCACCTCGGAGGACGTTGGTACCCCAGGCACCTGTGCGGCGGCCGCCCCCTCCCCAGCAGAAAGAGAGAAGGGGCCACGGCCGCGCGCCTTACCTGGGCCTGGATCCTCCCTCCGCGGGCTCCTTTCTCCGGAGCTGGGCGGCCAGTGGGTTACCCGCTTCCCAGTGGGAAGTGGACCTTCTCCTCCAGTCATAAATCAAACCCAGCCATCCTCGGGCCTCCTCCCTCATTAGAGATGTTTATTGGAGATTGTGTTTATTCGGCTGTCACGGCGAGAAAACGCGGTGACATAATTACCTCTGACCAGAGTCCTCGCCCCGCGCCCAGGGCGAGCCGGGACCTCCACTGTCGCCTCCTCTCTCTGCGCCCCCAGACGGCTCAGGGCGTGGGTGGTGGGCTTGTCTTTATTCTCAGACCCTCTCATGTAGTTTGGACTATTGAGTGAGTTACTGTTCAAACCTCCCCCGGCCGGGGCGCTTATTTGTTTATTTGTTTATTGTGGAACTTGAGAGGAAAGCCGAGAGGAACCCAACGCCTCTCCAGGGCGGAGGGGGCAGCGCGGGAGACAGAAGGGAGTCCCTTCGCCAGCCAGCCGTGGGAGTTGACACGGAGGGAGGCATGGAGGTGTTGGTATTTTTCATTCTGAGGCCCCAAGGCCCCGGGCGGAGGATTCTTAGACTCTCCGGCCAGACTCGGCCACCTCCTCCCGACTCTGGCCGGGGGGCGGCCCCGTCGGTGCTCCCGCTAGCCAGGTTTGTAAGTCACCATCTGTGACACTGAGGAAGTGATGAAAAGCGCCGAATTGTTCTCTAATTGAAAATACTTTTTTTTTTTTGGTGACCGCGCTAACCAATATCTGGGATCCCAGCTTTTGATCCCTCGCTACTGCCTCTGTTCTCCAATCGCTAATAAAACTCGCATTGAGCCCCTTAGTGCCTTGATTAACAGGCAGATTAACTCTAACTGGGGTGGGGAACAGCTTGTCCCAATCAATGTCATTTTAAAAACCCGTCCGGATACGCTTAGCCCGGTTCCCTGGCTGCCCAAGCGAGCCAGCCGTGACATTTGCTCCCTCCCCCTTCCCCGGCCTCAAATCCCCCAGCAAAGCCCCCAGTTCCCAGCCCGCGAGTCCCTGCTCCGCTCCGGGGTAAACTGCAGGACTGGGTCCATGGCCTTTAAACAGGCTGCTGTTTAGAGAGGGGCTCTCCAGGGACAAGGGACTGAGGTGGCCTTGGTTTGCTTTTCATTTGAAGCTGAACTCCTGCCTCTTGAGGGCAGAGGTTACAGGGAAAGGAGAGATGGGGAACCGGACCGGGTGACGAAATGGAAAGCAAACTTTACTAGGAACCCTATTTGCAAAAATCGGAGAGTGCCACTGATTGCGAGAGTCCTACACATCACGAGTTTTGAACCCATTCCCTATCTGGACAACAGCACTGAGGGACTGGAAGCAAGGGCGTGGGCGGGGGGACCCGCAGGGCGCATGAATCTCTTCGCTGAGAGACCCCGTTGGACAATGTTTTTTTCAAAGTATTTTTCCGGGAGAGAGAGGAGAGAGAGACGCTTGCCTCCTAATGTGACTGGAAGAGGACCAAACCCAGAGAGCGCCGTGACACTCGCCATTTGGCAGGAGGCGAGAAGGGCGAGGGCACCGCGGCTCTCCCCAACGAACGTGGCCACAGCCCGGAGGCACCTCCCGGCCGGCTCCCGGCTCTCCTCGTCTTCCGGCACTCTTGGCTCTGCCAGGCTGCCGGGTGAGCTGGAAACTCGCAGGTTGCTGGAGAAAGGAGAGGGAGACAGGCCCCGAGTGGAGAGTGGAGGAGGCACCCCTGGCTGGGCGGCAGGGTGGGCGCCTTTGCCTTTGGTGCTCATTTGACCCGTTTGGTCAGCTCCGCTATCCAGGGAACCCACCTTCCCAGGGCCAGAAAAGAGAGAGCCGTTTGAGGCTCTGCAAAGTGACGCAGGTGTCTGCAGAGACTTTCCTCCTTCAAAGAAAAGCTTGTCTACACCCTTCCCAGCGCGCCAGCACCGCGCCTCCGCTCGGCGGTGGAAAGCGGCGGTTCAGAGGCGTCGCACACTGGGTGGGAGACTCTTGCTTCCGAAGCCGGGAGCCGAACGCACATCCCCGGAGAGCTGGGCGCGTCTTTGCCTCGCCAGAGGCCGCCTCCAGGCCGGAAAGCTGGGGAGGGGCCCAGGCGAATGCCAGGGACCGCTGGGGGTGAGCTGTTGCCCATCTCACACTTAACGCACCAATACGGACCAGGCTCCGGGCACTTGGGCCAGCCGCGGTCCCCCAGCGTGACTCCCTCGGCACAGATCACCTCCCCTACCGAGTGGGATGCCCCGGGCGGCCCCCGCGGGAACAGGCCAAAGAGATGGGGCGGAGGAGCCTGGGGAGAGGAGGGAAAAGGCGAGACAGAAACAGAAGGCGCGAACCCCCGGCTCGGAAGGCAGCAAGTGGGCCTCGGTCTTGTTGGAAGCGCAATTAAAATGGCGACCTGCGAGTTGTCTCAGTTTTGCGCACACCTCCGGCCCTGGCGCGCTGCCCCTCGGCCCAGCCCCCAGCCGGCCGCGTCGCCCCAGAACAGGCACTTGGCAGAGGGCGCGAGGTGCCCCACGAGGTAGAACAGCACCCCACGCTCCTCGAGACCGTCCCAGAGAACAGGAAATCTCGCTCTCCACCCTTCTTAAACTTTGAAAACTCTGCCTCCCAACGGGCTGAGCTCCCCCCAAATACTGGCACACTGGAAGCAGCCAAGTCCTTTTTGTTTCTTGTTGGTGCAGAGGAGTTTCCAAGAGTCTTTCCGCGAGCTCCCACCCCCCCCAATGACGTCAGCGGCATTCACTCTCAGCTCCTCGCCTCTTATGTTTTTTTGTTGTTAAAACTTCTGCGAGGTGAGGTGGGGGTTGGGGGGTGGGAGAAGGAGCTGATTCAAAGAGCCAGTGCCCTGGGGGGAAATAGCAACAAGATTAGGGCTGCTTCTTTCCGAGGCAAAGCTTAAGAAGGTGCTAATCCACTCGGTCACTAATTGAGAGGTTGTAAAAATGATATTGGCCTCCAGTTCGGACAGAGTCTCTGGGTGTTTTTTCCCTTCTCGCTTATGGACTTGAGTGGACTTGAGTTCAGGCTTCTTTAATACTTGTTTGAGAAGTAAAGAGAAAAAGAACGCGGACTCGCCGGTGTGAACCTGGGCCGGGATCCTGTGAAAGTCCTGGTCCTACGAAATCTCGCCAGGGGGCCGCTGACCCGGCGTCCGGCGCCTCCTCCTCCTCCTCTGGCCTGGGTGTCCCGGGCCGCGGGAAGGGCCGTTCCCAGGCCGAGTAGGTGAGCGGGTGGTGCAACCTCAACCCTGACCCTCTCCCGGAGCTCGGCCCCGGACCCTTGGTGCAGTGTTAGCGGGTCCGGGCCGGAGTCGGGAGGGGAGGCACACACCAGGCCGGCAGCGTCCTCGTGGTGGGATCCCAGCTCCCAGGATGCGGAGACTTTCATTGATGAGCTCCGACCTCCAGCACTTTTCCTCAGTCAAGAGGAGTCAAGTGTGCCTGGCGGTGGCCTCCTTTCGGCCTCCCTGCCTCAGCTTTTCCAACCCCATTTCCCTTCGCCGGGTCCCGGGTGTGTCCCCGTCCCAGACCTTCCCCTTTCCTTGGTCCACGGCCTGGCCTGCAAGCTCCGGACTTCGCAGGACTGGGCAGCCCTCCCTCCCCTGTCACCTTAACTGCGGGCGCCGAGGGGCGCCTTTGGAGTGAACTGAGGTGTGTCCTAATCGTCGGGCATTCAACAAATGGACTCTGGTGTGTGGTCAGAAGAGAAAAGCCATTTACTTACTTTCCTCCACGGTTTTCTGGCAACAGCCGAAGGGGAGCTGCCTCCGTGGACTGAGCAGACCCAGGAGAGGGACTTGTGGTGCGGAGACACGCTCACCACACACAGATGACCGGTGGCACACACCGACACATCGCGGCGAGGACACACACACACACAATCCCTCCCAGCATTGGTCATCCATCTCCCCCACCGCAGGCCTCCCCCCTCCCCCTCGCGTCCCCTCCTCTCGCGCCCGGAGAAGCGGCCGCACTTAGTCAACAATGGCACGTGGGAGAAGTTGGTGAGTGTTTGGTGAGGACTCTTCAGGGCTTTTCACAAGAACCCTCTGTACACAAAGTAAGTGGCGTGTTTGCTCGGGCCTCTCCAGCCGCGACTGTGCCTCCGCTCCGCTGCGCACCGCGGCTTCCGAAAGAAGCAAGAGCAGAAGAAAGGCTAGGGGGCGGGGGGGGGGGCGGTGCGCGGGCCCGGGAGGCCTGCCCGGGGAGGCGGGTTCCCAGGCCGACCGCTCCTCTCCGCCTGGGCTCCGCGGCGGCCTCCGCGGAGGGCAGCCGCCGGGACCCAGCGCTGCGCACGCCCCTTTCTCTTCTTCGCCCCGGCCCAGTGGCCAGGTGGGCTGGGGCGCGGCCCCCAGGCGCTCGGCGTCCGGGACGGGCGGGCAGGGGCAGGGGCGCGAGGGGGAGCGGCGGGGCGGGGCGGTGGCCACGCGGGCCCCAGTCGGCGAGAAAGGCGGCGCGGAGCTGCAGAAACTTGCCCCCTTGGTGAACCGAGGTCCCGCGCCAAGCTCAGGGGGTGAAGGGCGCGACCCCCAGCCCAGCGGCCTTCTCTCGATCCTCGCGTTCGCCGCCCCAGTGCGGGCCGCGCGGCCTCCCCGAGCGCTGGGAGCCCGGAGACGCCGGCGTGCGCCGCCCCAGAGCCGGGCGCGGGGCCCCAGCGCCGGGAGAGGAGCCGGGACCCACCGGCGGGGCGAAAACAAGTGTATTCATATTCAAACAAACGGACCAATTGCACCCGGCGGGGAGACGGCGCGTCCAATCGGTGGGCGCGAGGCCCCGGCGCTGCTTTGCATAAAGCAATATTTTGTGTGGGAGCGAGCGGGGCATTTGCATGTTGCGGAGTGATTAGTGGGTTTGAAAAGCGGACCGCGGCTCGGCCTCATTTCCCGCTCTGGTTCAGGCGCAGGAGGAAGTGTTTTGCTGGAGGATGATGACAGAGGTCAGGCTCCGCTAATGGGCCAGTGAGGAGCGGTGGAGGCGAGGCCGGGCCGGCACACACACATTAGCACACTTGAGCCATCACCAATCAGCATAGGTGTGCTGGCTGCAGCCACTTCCCTCACCCACACTCTTTCTCGATCACACCCCGGCGCTGACAGCCCATTTTATTGTCAATCTCTGTCTCCTTCCAGGGATCTGAGCAGCGCTCGCACACACCAAACCAGCAGCGTCCGCGGAGAAAACTCTCGCCAGCAACTCCTCTAAAGCACCGTCTTTTCCAACCCTGGTGGGCTTCAAGAAGCAACAGCGGCCAGAGAAACCCCAACCGAACCAAACTCTTGACAGGAGCTCTGCCGAGGGAGGATGCCTCATAAAGGTGAGTCCGCTTCTTTCTTCTCGCTCCATTTCCATGGCACTCTCCAGGCAGGTCTCCCCTCCCCCTTCCTTCCTCCCTCTCGCCGGCCCCCTCCCCCTCCTACGCCGAAGAAGTTTCCACGCAGGAGCCCAAACTTTCTGCCTCCAGCGGGAGCCCGCGTCCGAGGGCGGCCGGCGCGGGGCGCGGGGAGGGCGGCTGCACCCGCGCCGG